TGGAATACGAACAGTCAACCTGATCTGGAATGATAATAAAAGGATGAGTCGCGAAACTCAGCGAGTACAGATGATACCTAGTCTATGCATGTTGGGATATGTATCACACCACAAGTTCCAAAACCCTTTTTAACACATATAAATACAGTGAGCAGTTCAATATCAAATCATACATATGTGGGAGTATAAATATCATATCACAATATTCCAGCCTCAATTATAGGCATCATAACCATAATCAATATCACATCAGATGGCCATCACCCAATCGGGTTCACATCGCCCCCCATCAGGCCGCCCACCAGGGCACCAGATCTCAATACCAAACATAACTCCCACATACAGTTCGAACAATACATACATATACATTTCAAAATCTCAAACCAATATCGCATACCAATATAGCTCACTAACCATATACCAAATCACATAACACATATCCCATATGTATATACATCAAAATACAGTTTAGAAAACATAAATCAATCATGCCAAAATCACCGTATGAAAACACAGGCATAGAAAGGTATCATCACTCACAGTACAAGAATCAAGCCAACAGAGAAGTCTCAAGTCACCCTCACCCGACTCACTGGTCTAGGTGTACCTCCTCAGCCGTATCTGTAGTCAAAACCATACAAAACCATCACCAAAACTAAAATAAGCACAAGAAAAGGGCTCAGTAGCCCGAACCTTTTAAATTCCATTCCGGGACCCTTGGCACGCATCCCAAGATGCCAAAACCCATCACGAGACTCACGTGTTTCACTAATACAGTCAATTTCCACTTAACAATCCTTAACAATGGTGAACCAGCCAGCCTTAAAATCCCGAACCATAATAAACCGATCACTAAAAACCCTTGAACCGGCTTAAACTGGCCTAAAACTACCTCATCCCGAACTTGTTTGGCCACGAAACCCTCAAAATCAGATTCAGAAGGCCCAAAAACCTTAGGAACCATTATGAACCGGTCAAAAATGAGCCAAAATAAAGCTGAACCGGCCAATTTATCATTAATTATCCTTGAACCGGGCCGGTTCAATCAAAACACTAAATTTTCGGTCAAACCGGACCTCCCCGAACCCCCGAACCAACTCGGTTCAGTAGGTCTTTTCTCCTTGATTCCAAAACCGGTTCAACTTCCCAATTCCGAGGTCAATTGACCACTGAACCGGCCGGTCAAAGCCACTGGCTGGTTCAGTAAACTGTTCTTTTTTTTTTTTTTTTTTTTTTTTTTTTTTAACTGAGCCAGCTTGGCTCAGTTGGCTAGGAGCCGGCTCGGCTCGCTCAGCTCAGCTGGCTCGAGTCGGCTCGCACCCGGCTCGGCTCGGAGCCGGCTCGCCCCGGCTCGGCTTGGAGCCGACCGCTCGTAACATCAAAGTTTTTTTTTTTTTTTTTATTTTTATATAAAAGGCTGCCCACGGCTCTAGTCCGCGGCTGCCTTGGCCCAAAGGCCAGTCCGGGCCCAATGGCCCGGATAGGGCATGCGCCCATGCGGGGGACCCGGATCACCGGGTCCACCCCTTTCTCACCCGGCTTAACCGGGTTTGATAGACCCGGTTCACAGAACCGGGTCTGTAACTTCCGAAAATTCAAAATAAATTATAAAAAATCGAAATAAAATAGAAAAACCCACTTACCTTATCAATCCACACCCGAATTTGGTAGATCTGAGCAGAACGAGTGAACTACGCCCAATAATCGATCAAAAACTAATAAATCATCAAATTTTTTTCCAAAATCTCCTCACGAATCACGGACGAACCCGTTTGTGGAAAACACTCAATTTCTCTCTCTAAACTCACCCGAATTCCGAAATTGAGAGAGAGTTTTCGTTCCTCTCTTAAATACACACGCGGCGGTGTGAACAAATCACCGAAAACTTCAACCATCGTGGCGAATTCGGCGTCAAAAGCTTCGGCCACCGATTTGGACAAAAATTTGTTTTTCTTTAGATCTAGTCCTCAAATTTTGTTTTTCTTCAATTCAGTCCCTAACAATTTCAATGAAATCCCATACTTCCAGAATTCTCAAATCAAACCCCAAAACTTCTAAAATTCCCAAATTAAGCCCCAAAATCTATAATTTTTACAATTAAGCCCCTGATTATTAATTTAATTAATTATTATTATTTATTTAAAAATTGGGTTATTACAATCAATCAATTGATTGATCCTTAGTCACAATCCGCAAACTTAAAGGATTGATCGATCCCTAGTTGTAGTCGATGCAAAAATTTATGGTCACGGTTGATTTCTCAAGATGACAATTGATTAATCAATCATTAGTTGTAGTCGACAAATTTGAAGGATTGTTTAGTCGCAGCAGGCATAGAAATCCAGCCATAGAAATCCCTAATTGCAATTGAGACAATAATCAATGGATTGATTGTTCTCTAGCCTCGGTCCACAAACTTCGAGGTTCAATTGATCCTAGTCACAGTCGGGCACGAGCACTTACTTCGTTGATGGGAACCCTTCTTACCTTTCTCCTTCCATTTTTTTTGATTAAAAAAAGTGCTCCATTGGCATTAAATAATTTCATTTTACTATTTTACCCTTAATAAGAGCAATCACTCTCATTGTAAAATAGCTAACACTAACCTCCCTTGTTAAAAACAGTTCCCTCAACAAAGTTAAAAGTGTGATGCAATTACCTTTATGCCGAGGACCGAGTATGTTAAAAAAAATGTTTTACTTAAAGTTTATTAATACAAAAAGTTTCCTAACTTCTCTCCCGACCTTCCTTGCATCATTGGCGCTCCCCCTTCTTCTAAGTCGCCGGTGACCTCTCACCACATGTGAAACTATGATTATCATCACCAACTTAACAAAGGACAAATCTATACTTTTGTAACATCTTTCACCCACATGTAAGTTACATGCATTGAAATTACTGGGTTAAGGCAATAACTGCCAAATATAGAATAAATTGAGAAAATGCAACAGAAGTTTAAATAATTATAAATATTTTACCTCATGCAGGTACGTGGTTGTTCGAGATTGAATTTTTTTTAAGTAAATAAAATATCGTAGTTATATAATTTGTCAATGTAATTTGAAAATGTGAAAAAGAATGAAGCAACATTGAACGCTGAACAAAAAAGGATTTAAGTGATAAAATTATGAACCACAAGTGACAAAGTACTCAGAGTAAAAAGATGGATACTAAAAGGTAATTAAGTATGGAGGAGCAAGTGGGCCAGGAAAAATTGCTTGATGGGCCTTCCAACTACAGCTTACCGGTCCAGGAAGGCCGTGTGTTTCTGCCGAAGCTGCAAAACTCTCTTCATAAGCTGCCATAGTGCAGTGTTACTGTAGGTTTAGAGTTTTAATTACATTGGACATTAAATAAATTCTATTCAACTTTTTATTATTAAATAATTAAATTTATTTTTTAACATTTGTTTTATTCATATTAATAATTTTTTAATATTCAATTTCCTATATTCATTTAAATTTACAATTAAATTATGATATTTTATCCCATTTTAAGTACAATAAATAAAATATTAGAGATTATTATTAAATAATTTGAGTTTAAAAATTTTAGATAAGTGGTCAAGCTTAACAAGTAATTAGGCCAATAACTTTTAAATTGTTACAAATAATATCAAAATAAAATGATTTTTGGACCTATTTTATTTGGATAAGAGTACGAATTTAAAATTTGACGAAAACGTCAAATATTTAAATAGAAGAAATTGTGATATAGCGTTTTTACACCAATTTTTGAGAGTGGTAGAACAAGTCATTTGGTTAGAAGTTTTGGGATTATTAGATAAATAACCAAATTTACTTTATAAACATGAATTAAATTCTCCTTCAATCCCTTAATTTATTCAATTTGTTCAATTTAATATCTTAATTTTAATTGAACAAAGTTGATCCTCCAACTTTAATTTGGTGCCAAATATAATATTTTGTATTGACTTCCATTCAATTAGTATAAAATGGTATTAATTTGTAATCTCAAATTTAATTTTTATAGTACATATATTGTATTAAGTGTTATACGAAAATATTTTTTAAAAATAAAATAAAATTTTTTATCATATAAAGTCAAGATGTTCTTATATTTAAAAAATATTAAAAGACTGCTTAATTTATTAAAAAAATTAGTGTCTTTAGAATTTATGATTATGTATTTCTAAATTAAATACTTGAATATTTGACTTAACATAAAAAAGTTAAAAATTTAAGAAGGAACTCAAAAAATCCAATTAATAAGAATTGAATTTTACTATTATCTTAAAAATTTTAAAAATTTAATTTTTTGATTTTTATTTTTAATTCAACATTAAAATAGAGCATAATTTAAGGAGAAAAAATTTCAAAATACCTATTTATTTTTGTATTTGCTAATAAAATTTTTAGAAATAACTAAATAAAAAATTTATTTTTTAAGAACCTGTTAAAATCAAAATTTTAAGAAATTCACTTTTTATTTTTTTAAATTTTCAAACTAAATCAAATAACCTAAAAAATAACAATAAAATATTCAAAAAAAACTTATTTGATAAATAAAAGTCTATTAATATTTTTTAAAAGTAATAAATATTTTAATTTTATTTTTCTATTATATATTTATATAATATATAATATAAAAATGAGATTTAAAATTTCAAGTTAACACTATATAACGATAATTAAATAAAAGTCAATACAAAAAATATATTTAATATCAAATTAAAATTGAATATTACATTTATTTGAATTAAAATTTAAAAAATTAAAGAACGGATGACTTAATCTTTATCTAAATTCATTTTTGTAAATATATTTTCTTTAAATTAAATAATCAAAAATTATTCTACCAAGACCCCAGCAAGAATGCCTTTGCAATCCATTCCCGGCGAAGGCGAGTACCCGCATAAAATCGTCAGATTTCAATTCCTTGCCTCTCGTGAGCAGAGTAGCTGGAAATAGGGTTTAATTCTTTCCTCCCCCGTAACGCCCCGTCGTCAAGCTGTCGTTGCCATTATACAATGCCGAGGAATGACGGCATTCGCTTCACTTCCTCTTCCGTCACTGTCCCTCTCTCCCCCCACCATCCAACCACCGAGACCCCTTGCCTCTGTTCTGCAACCTCCAATTGACATCCCAAACCCTGTTATCCGCCACTATCGTGAGAACCAAGTCTGCAATCGACCAGTTCCTCCAAACCTGAAGACCAACGAGCGAACGAGTCCATTTCACTCCAAATCGTCCTTATTGTGCTCGGCGTCGTGGTTGGCTTTGACCCGACCCGACGGTCCCGTTACTTCCGGCGGGTCCGAGGCCGTGGTGACTCAACCCAAAGGCAGCCACTCAGCTTCGGGGCGGCATGAGGAGGAGAGAGTGTTGATCAGTGAGGTGTTGGTGAGGAACAAGGATGGGGAGGAGATGGAGCGCAGGGACCTCGAGGACGAGGCTCTCGCAGCGCTCAAGGCGTGCCGCCCCAACTCCGCCCTCACTGTTCGGGAGGTTAAAGAGGACGTGCATAGGATAATTGATACCGGATACTTCTGTTCTTGCTTGCCCGTAGCCGTTGATACCCGGGATGGTATCCGTCTAGTATTTCAGGTACGAACATGATTGGAATTGACCTAACTTGATGGCATTGGATATTACAATCAACTAAATAGGTAGAATTTTAAGGTAGGAGCGCCACTCGTGTTTATTTGCTGATTGGTGTGTATATTTCCGGTGCTTGTGTCTGTCTTAGTTAAATTCATGTGTATATTAGAGTGTCTCAAAGTTCAGCAAAAAGTATTAGCTATTCATTTAGAATAAGAAATGAGGTTTCTGGTGTCAACATTTGTTTTGTTCTCTTAGGCATGAATTTGTGTTGTACTCATTTTTTCTGGTTCTCTCTCACACCAGTATCGCCACCTATTGTTATTGGCTTCTAAAGATTTGTCTTTCTAGAGGGGTCTATGAGTTGCATTAGGGCTGTTTTTATTGGAAGAAAAATCCCTTAAGTTACTAATCAAGCTTCTAGGCCTTGTAGAATGTGTAGCTTAAGACAAAGGGAAATGGAAAAAGAAAGTGGGATACATAAGACATAACGATATAGAGAGGAGAGGAAAAATTATTATATAAAGAAAAAGGAAGTGCTTTTTGCTTGAAACTGAGAGTAGTTAAAACCAGGATAATCTGATAAGATAATCATCTTTGAGTTGTGAAGCATCTGATAGATAAATTTCCATGGAACTTTTACCTCTGTTATAACTTACACAGCTTCAGGACCTATTTGTAAAATATATTTGTAGACAATCAAAGTACTATACAATATACATACATCTAAGAACCTCCAGATGCGTGTAACTGGTGGTTCTCTGTTACTTTTGGAAGCACCAACCTTCATTGTTCTGTTGATCCTTGTAACTGGGGCACTCCTGAAGCTATGGAAATAATGAACCCTCTTGGCATTAATTCTCAGGAATAAAAATTCCAATTTTATGTTTAAATGCTTTGGTGTCTTTGAGGTTCTTGAATATCCATAATTAATACGTCTTGGCCTTGGGCTTGAGATTGTTAAACAGTTCTGTGAAAGATTTAAAACTATATTTGTGTTTTTCAGTGACAATCAAATGCCACATGCCTTGAGGTTGTCTAGGCTTGCTCTTTCTCCATAGGATCACTTTCTTCATTTGATTTGGTGAGAGAAATTGCATGACTAGAAAAGGCCATTACTCCACACCTAACAAGAGTGGAGATGTTAGTGTAAAGTACATGTGTGCACCATGCAGTATGAGCATGGCAATGCCAGGATTTTCAATTAAATTATATTGTCATACCCCGAGACCTCATGCTTTGGGTCCCTGGGATGAACTCCTTAAATCACTTGCTCATGCATCCCAAGAATAGAGTTACTCATATTCATGACATTTAAGGAAATATTAATTGTAGGGAATAAACTAGATAATTTACTTATACATTAATTGTTTGTTTTTTGCTGTTGCATTATAGCGAAGTTTTGCCCTAATCTAGAATTTCCTTCTTAGTACTTTTTAAAATCTGCTCTTCTTAGTGAACTAGGAGGCACTATTTGTTCACTTCATTGAGGGAATAAGAATAAGAGATATAATGGGATAAGTTAGAAAGCTCAATGACTGGAGATCTTGTTCAAAGAAATATGTGATATACAAATAAAGTTGATTTCTGCATTTTTTTTTTTAAGTCACAACTGGTTGGTTTGTTTGATGTATAACAGGCCAAAAGGCCTATCTCAATATGCAGTTGGCCCTGCAATGCTAGCAAAAACCCTAGTTTTTAGAATAGTGTTAAGTAGCAAAAGGCCAAAAGGCCTATCTCAATATGCAGTTGGCTCTGCAATGCTAGCAAAAACCCTAGTTTATGAATAGTATTAAGTAGGGCTGCAACCAGTTCGATTTGGCTTAGATATCCCCATGATTATGAAGTGAATCCCTCAGTTTTTCTGCAAGGAAAACTAGAACAATGAAGATGTAAGAATTGGACTGAAGTGAAGCCAAAGGTACTGCTTTGGAGCAGTTCAGTTTCATTAGTCTTTACACCTTTCAAGAGAGTGAGAGATAATAGAATGGAAAAGAAGAGGGTGGAAACCCGTGAAAGTAGTTGTGAGGGTTATAACAATATTGTGCCAAAGTCATAGTTGCATTCAACAAGTCATTGTGACAAGTTTGGACCGATGACATTGCAATGTAAGGATTGCCCATCAACTTTTTTTTTTTTTTTGTGCTACATATTGCGTGGAATGAATTTAAGTTCTGCTTTTGGGGAGTTTACCTTTTTTTTTTTTTTTTTTGCCATCAGAGAGAAAAACAGAGAGGAGAGTAGATGGGAGGGGAGACGTGTGGGTGAGGAATAAAGGTTATTTGACTGGTAGGTGGAGGGATGATAATCTACAACTTTAAACTTCCAAGATCTTTTGTGAGAGGGAAAATTTTTTGTCTTGTCATAGTGATGAATTTGGTATGTAGTATATAATACATATTAGCCATAAAATGGTTTGGCTTGGTTTGGTTTTTTTTTTGCAATTTTAGCTTTAGTAAACAAAAATTTAACAAAATCTATTTAGCGTTTACTTTTGCAAACTGAAACCAAATAGGAGATGGGAAAAACCCAATAAGCACTAATTAGAGAAGCTTTTGAGTTTGGAAACTTCTTACTTTTAGAGAAGCTAACCACCCTGCTCAGTGCTATGTTAATTGACACAGGGGTTGTTGGAAATTTTTGTTTTGCATTTTTAGTTTAAGGCTTAGGATTTATGGGCTAAGTTTAAGAATTTAAGCATTCCATCGAGTAGTCATATGTATGTGGTTGTAAGCTACTGGTAAGTTGAGTACTCGTAAGCTTCTTGTAAGTTGTGTGCTTGTGAGCTACTTGTAAGTTGTGTGCTTGTTTGCAGATATGTGGCTATAGGTAGTATGTGTCATATAGTTGATTTTCATGGTTTACAAGCAATTTTTTTAATGTGAAGTAATCTCTTTGAGGAGGTTGTTTTTGAGAGAAATGAAGCACTTCTGCATGTTTTGATGTGTGATGTGTCTCATATTTCTTTAAGGGTGGTTGCTAAGAAGTAAGTGTGATGCCTTGATTTCCCTCCTTAGGAAATGATTGCCTAAGAACCCAAAGTGTGATTGCCTGGGTTATCTTCCCTTTCTTTTCTCTTCTTTTCTTTTTCTTTACTCCTGAATTGCAAATATCCTGTATCAGTTATCCTGCATCAGAAGGTCACCCAAAAAATGCATATAATCTCATTTTGTATTATTTCTATATTTTATTTTTTTGGCCAATAGTCAGGGATATCTACTCGAAGGGGACGGGGAGATGAGGTTCCCAGGTTTTGAATCCTAATCATGAGTTGGGGATTGAAATACCATAATCAACTGGGCTAACTTCTAACATAGAAGGAGAAAATTGTTCTTATTTATTTATTGTTTGAAGTCTTATAGTAATGGCTTATGTGTTGGAAGGATGCTTGACTTTTAATACAAAACTTTCTTCTACTTTTTTCAACAGAGTTTTTTATCTACTAGGTTTAAAGAGAGTGTGAATTTGGACCATTTTGTTGTTTCTTTATTTGGTATTTCAAATTTGATTACTTCACCAAACAGCATTTTAAGTTCTGACTTTTTAACAAGAAGAGTTAAAATATTTTTGGACATGATTTTAGTGAGGCAACCACTTGATCACCTAGAGCCTCGAGTCTAGGCATTTGCCTAATTCCTTGTGTTACCAATTGCCTGGTCGGGTGAGGCAAGGGCTTGTGATAACATAACTGAATCACACATAAACAATTTTCCCAATTTTCTTAATTTCTATCTTTGGTTAGAAGCCTTACAGAGAGTAATTATCTTTTTTTTTTTCTTTTTTGGCAATGAGAGAGTAGTTATTCTTATACTGCGTTAAACATTGGAGTTCTATTCTTTTGTCAAAGATGCTTGAACAAAGGTGCAACATTAGTTTTAAGCCTCCCTTTTAAACTTATTTGTCCCTTTCTACCCTTCTTAAAGATGCTTAAGAGAAGGTGCGAAATTTAGCTTTCAAAATTCTAAATGAGTCATTGATAGCAAATTTATCTTAGAAAGATGCATTTAAGCTTCAAAAGCAGATAGAGGTTTGTGATATTTTCCAAGAAAATTTATGCATGTGTAAGAGTTGCTGCAATCAAAGGTTAAAACAAGGCCATTTTTACATTTTTATAGTAGTGGTAATAGGCAACAAGGTAAAATGTTCAAAACATTATTGGATTTTAGAATGAATAACATAAATTTTGGTATGCTGACTTGGTTTCCTTGAGGTTGCCTGGCAACATGAAAACGAAACGAACTGGTGTGCAGTCTGTTGGATGCAATAGGGAGGAGGGAAAATAGAGATGGGGAAGGAGGAGATATACCAACGAACTGGGCTTCCTTGACTTGGCAGTTTCAGGTGAAGTACTTGTGTTGGCGTGTACAGATATGAGATCCTTCTTGATAGAACATTGAAAAGGAGTAGATGAGAAAAAAAGGTGAAAGGAAGAATATGAAAAGAAATTTAGCAAGAAGGAAAGTAAAACAGAGAAGAAAGAGATAAAGAAGATAAAAAGAAAAATATAGACCAAGATCAAGGCTCCAAGGCAAAATGTTTAGAACATTAGTGGGTTGTAGAGGGAATACAATGTTTATGGGTTTTGTTAATCAGTTTATGGATTTTGTCTGCTTTATAATGCTTGATCCACCAGTTAGTTATTTTGTTTTTTATTTACATTTTTGGTATAAATATCATATTGAAAGCACCTGTGTCATCAGTTCTTTAAAATGGAACATGAGCGCGTGTTGAAGGCAAGAACTAAAAGTACGAGGTTCAATTCATAGAAAAGGCGCCTAGGTTGACTCAATGATATCTTTACCATGTATGCTACGTGCTGATTATGGTGAGCTAATGAAATGTTCCATATAATATGCCAGAATTTCAGAGAAGCCAGCACGCAAGCAAAGATAATATATTTTGGTTCAATTTGAAAAAGATTCTACCTGTTTACTGTACAGTCCTAATTACAATATACCACTTTTAGTGCTTGAAAATTGGTTCAAGATACTTTTGTTACCATCAATAGCCCTGAATCTTGATGAGGTGGTGTTTAAATCCATTTAACATCTGGAACCGATAGCAATGATGTTGTTTTTATTTATATCTTAATGAACATGTGTCAATGATTGTTTTATTTGATCTGTTATATTAGATCCATTTTTCAGTATGATGAGAATTGTCATAATAATTCTTATGGGAATGTTTTTGGAATAAGGTAGAGCCAAACCAAGAATTCCAAGGATTGGTTTGTGAAGGGGCTAATGTTCTTCCAGCAAAGTTTATAGAGGATTCTTTTCGGGATGGATATGGTACACTTTCCTTTTTTTTTTATAGTTTTTATACACATTGGCATGTGCTTATGTCCTTGCTGCATGTGTTTGCTTGCTTTACATTTTCTTATTTCTGAACATGACTGATGGGAGACATTTGTTCTATTGATTGTGTATATGCCGAGTTGTGCAGGAAAGGTTGTTAATATTAGGCGTTTAGATGAAGTAATAGATTCAATAAATGGCTGGTACATGGAGCGGGGGCTTTTTGGCTTGGTTAGCTCTTTGTTCTTTCGGCATTAAAGCATCTATTTGCAGATTGGTGTATGCCTTGGGTTTTCACCACAGCTTTTCTGTTTTAATAGTTGATTCTATTCTGAAACTAACAGGTGTCTGGTGTTGAGATTCTATCTGGGGGTATTATTAGGCTACAAGTGTCTGAAGCTGAGGTCAATAATATCTCCATACGTTTTCTTGATCGGAAGACGTAACAATCTCTCCTTGAATTACTTTATATGTTTACATTATTAAGGAACAACATTTAATAAGTAGTTTTTATCACTGATGTCACATTGTTGTTAACTGCAGAGGTGAGCCTACTGTTGGGAAGACAAAGCCCGAAACAATACTTCGGCAACTTACCACCAAGAAAGGGCAGGTATTCCTGTTGGAATCTTTTCTGATTATATGTGATTCCTAAATTTTTTACTTTTATGTGGAGTATGTTTTCTGGTGTTATTTTCTGCTTTTGTTTTTTTATTTTCTGTTCTTTAATTTTTGAACCTGGAGTCTCAGTGTATTCTGATACCTGGAAATGGAATCAGGAATGCAGTCTGACTTGTATCCACTGGTCTATTTATGTGTGTCATGAATGCAATTAACATAATTGGAATGTCAGTTATTAGTAATACCTGATGGTGAATCTTTACAAGTGTGAACCATGTGATTGTAACCATCTTAATCAGTGGCAATGTTTTTGTTGCTATGCAACTAATAGTTTGATCTAGTTAGCTATGGCTGTGATGAGTTCGTGATATGAATAAACATTTACTTGGATTGAACAAGCCTCAGTGTAATTTAGTGGTTCTCCCAATTTTTCCCTCTTGTTTTAATAGGCTCTTCCCCTTCATTTAGAGGATATGCTGGTCTGATTCCTACATGATGCATACCAGATTGGTTTCTTGGACTGGTACATCTCCTGGCCAACCAATTGATCCAAGTGTTTCGCATAACCACTCCTCTGAATAAATGGATTTGGTCATTTGAAGTGGTGTATTTCTTTCTAGGGCTGTTCTTGTGGTGCACCACTATGGTGCTTATCAATGGAATGTTTTCCTACTAAGAAGCCTTGAAGTTCTAGGGGCAGTTAATTGACTTTTAGCCCTTGAATCATAATTCTTGAATGGCAAAAATGCCCCAAAAATGCCTAAGGCTCATCAGGGCTCTATGGTGCACTGTGCTTGGGTTCACCTGGACTGTAGAAAAAAACAAAGTCAAAAGGCTATACAAGCAGGCTTCTCAATGCATCAGATTTATATCAGACGTGGCAGATCCAGACCCTAACCCACATAATTAAATGCAGACCTCACCTGAACTGCATAAGTGAAGTTCCAGAAAGAACAGATCCAGTCTGATTTGTGAACCCAAGCCTGATGGGTTAACTGTTTGTGGTGGGTAAAACTCTGGTTATGCCAAATAAAGTTAGTTTGTTTGTGTATCCATGTGTATTACAAGAGTTAAAGTAGCAGTCCACTCTGATTATCCTATGCTCGTATTCATTTTTAAAAATGTTTGTATGTTTGTATACATATATACACATGTATGGAGAGAGAGGGAGAGAGAGTGTGTGTGTGTGCATGTGGCAAGAATATATCAAGGGTCTGGGTCTGGGTCCAAACACCTTTTCCGCTCTCCAAATCCACATAAGTGGAGCTATTTTGGCCCAAAGTTCATTCTCCTTGCTCCCCTCATTCACATACCCTTCTAGAAACACCTTTTTCTTCATCATCATCATTATCATCATCTTCTTTTGAGTGTTTGGTCTAGATGTGCTTGGATATGATCCATCTTTGCTGTGTCTTGGGGTTCTGGACTCATGGTCTGTTATGGATATGGATAATCTAGACCTGAATTTTAGCAGGTTGGGTTGGATTGGGCCAGGCTTGACCTATTGACAGGCCTACATAGAGTTACACCTTAATGAAGCTCTCCTGCAATTGGGTTTTTGGGAAGAATTTAGAAGTTAAATAGGTTGATAGTTATTTTTATTAAGCCTTATATGACTTGTTGAGTAGACTCTTTTTAGATTCTCATGTTTTTTGGGCCTTTAATCTGGATTCAGTTGCCAGATGATGATTGGTTGCCTTACATGTCTTGCTGTTTGGTATTATTTGTGAACTTTGGTTTGTCCACAGTATAATGAAAGAAGACATCAACTTCTAATCCTTGGTAGTTTTTGGGCATTAGCACTTCTTGGACATGTGAATGGCATACGCTGGACATGTCTGGTTTTGGAAAATCTGATCCAATTTGACACACTTATTTCCTAAGAAGGATGGACGCAGAGGTGGTATCCAACATGACACGACACACTGACACAGTGCCTTTGAAAAAATGAGGGCCCTAACATGGCCAAAAGATATAGAACTTTTAATATTCATGTTCATTAGTTGGGACATTCATAGAATGACCAAAAATAATGTAACAAACTGATTCATTCATACTTAAACACCAAACAATTTGAGCTGAAATTCACAGTGGATTTAGTACAATTATTTTATTCTTCTATTGCCTGCATGTATGTGATATATGTTTTTAGTTTGATATTATTGTTGCAAGATGTTAGTGTCAGATGAAAATGGATCTTTTTGATATAAAGACATGCATGTACTTGGACATGGGAATCTGAAGATGGCATGTTCCTATGTGTCTTGGAGTGTGAATAATTAGGCGTGGATACGTTAGACCAAATGAAGTGTCCATGCTTAACAACTTGTTTCCATGTGGGTTTTCTCAAGTACCTATAATTTGCCAGCCTTGTTGACCATCAAAACTTTATTTATGTATTTTAGGAGGATCTTGACAATTTTACTATCAGGCTAACTAAATAACTTACTTCGTCAGCCACTATTAATTGTTTCTGTTTGTCTTTGCATGTGCACTAGCATATTGGAAGATTCTTCTTGATGTTGGTAAACTATCATCAACATGTTTCTTTACAATGTGAGGCATGAGATGAGGCTTGCTTTGATTACCATTCCTTGATTTATGATCATTTGGTGACAAGGTGCTCTGGCTGTGGGTAAAATAGTATAGTGCACCTTCTGCCTGTTTTCTTCCACCCCATTGTTGCATGTAGTACGTTCTGTCTTCTCTGATGATGTGCTGCTGGTTTGTATCTTCCTAGACCAGGCTACTGTTTGAAGAGATTCTCTATCACCTTTTCATTATAATAGAATCAGGGTAGTTGAGCAAGGGAAAGCACTTTTTGGGAAAAAGGCAACAGATTCAGTGACTTGAGAGAGGAATCTGGATGAAATAAAGATGGAGATAGCTTGCCTGGAGGCTTATAGCTTACTGTGGCTGCAGAGATGATTAAAAAATAAAACAAAAAGTATAGCAGCTAGTTTCTGTGCAATAGTTGTTTACTTCTCTGTTTTGAGATGGGAAGCAGGGGCTAAAAGAAGTTGATCTGTCATCAGCATCCATGGAATGGCAGGAACATGACTGCATGTTGCAACAATCTTGATCTGAAGCTGCTTTCAGACATTGCTGTTACTCAGGCTGCACTCATTTAGGCATCCCACTTAATATTAAACAATGTTAAAAGGTAAACTTCTTTCATTGACTGACCTGAATACTGACTGCGCTGGTGCTGCCAAGATGAATGAGTGGTATGTAGATAAGCCCTATTCTGTGGCTTGTAATATGCCAGATTGTGGGCACTAAAACTCTGGGTGGGAGTCTGTTCTTAGTTCTGCTTCACTTTCTGCTGCCTCAGGGATTGATGTAGATTTTCTATCAAACTGCAACCTCAGGTGGTGAAAACTAGATGGTTCAATACAACCAACTCATCTTCCGTGGGTACTTAACCTCTGTGCTTTCTTTGTTAAGAAGAGTTCTTGCTTTGTGCCTTTTCTGTTAGGATAAAAATATTGGTAACCATCTTGGATCTAAATCTGGATCTGTGAAGTGTAATACATGAAAATGAAGGAGTACTTGTCATTGGAGGACACGAAATGCCTATAACTGAGCTGTTCCGATACCTGAAGAGATCAGTGCAGATGTGATCTATATAATTAAGGCTGGGTGAAGGAGTGGAGAATGCTTCAGGAGTCTTGTATGATCAATGAATACCTACAAGATTGAAGGGAAAGTTTTACAAGGAAGCTAGAAGAACCAGCTCTACTCTATGACGCAGAATGTTGGGCAGTTGAAAAGCAATATGTTAGTAAAGGAGTGTAATAGAAATGAGAATGTTAAGATGGATGTCTGGTAAAATTATGTAGTACAGAATTAGGAATTGTTGTATCTGTGAGATGGTTGAAGTGACACATATTAAAGATAAAATGAGAGAAAATAGATTTCGATGTTTTGGTCATGTGCAACATGGGCCCATAAACATTCCATAAATATTCCAGTTAGGAAGTGACTTTATTTCCATGGAGGGTAATAAGAGATGTAGAGGTAGGCCAAACTAACTTGGGTTGAAATAGTAAAGAAGGTTATTAAATTATTTTGGTTTGACTGGAAATATGGTCTAGGATCAAGCGGATTGGAGAAATGGGATTCATGTAGCTGACGTCATATAGTTGGGCTAGGGCTTAGTTGATTGATTGATTGATCTTGCATCTAGGTTGCTTTTGGAAGTTTACCATATAATTCTGTTTTGTATGCTGTCCTTGTGTTTGACTTAAAGGTTATGAGAAACTCAGTTAAAAGGAACATAGTACTCAGCATAATATATTAATATTTATTTTTTATTTGTTTGCGCCAGGCAATGGTGCAATCAGCATAATGGTGTCTTGCATATATATTTGAACATTGATCCATTATGCAGTTGACTTTTTCTTGCTTGTGTATTTGTGTTTCTTCATTCTCTATATGTGTAGGTTTATCATGCCCAGGCAACAAATTTTCATAGTCATTGTGGCTTGACCATGACTTCTGACAGTTGAATTAGACATTTTAACTATGGTTTTATCACTTTCATGAGGTTTACCTCTCTATTATATCACGTGTCTCCCCGGTTTAACTTGGATAAGCTGTTGGTTTTTGTGCATTTATGCTAATGTTTTAGGATTTGCTACAATATAAAGTTTTCCCGCAGTAGTTGCTTCATGATAAGAAGAGGAGAAAGGGAACTTCTCGAGAAATTCCTTTTTATTTGGACAAGTGTTAATGTTTACTTCGCTTGTATTGTTCTTGTTACAAGATAAAGTTAGCCAGTAGTTTTTGTTTAGTATTGTAATTTCTAATAGTAGCAGATAAGCAACCTTTTCAGAGAATCCTTGTTTCTGGAAGAGGTTTAATGGTCATCTTTTTCTAACCTGTAGATTTTGTTCTAATTTTATTATCTGTTCTCTTATTTGCAAAGAAATTCATATTTGACAATGGAATTTTCTTAACTCAGGTCTATAGTATGCTTCAAGGAAAAAGAGATGTGGATACCGTTTTGACCATGGGTATTATGGAAGATGTTAGTATAGTTCCCCAGCCTGCTGGAGGTAACATGATATACGCCATAATTTTAATGCTTTAAGTCTTTAGGATGGTGTTTATATGCATATTGTGTGTGTTCGCGTGACATATTTTAGAACTAAAATCTTCTGCAGATACTGGTAAGGTTGATTTGACAATGAATGTTGTTGAACGTGTAAGTGGAGGCTTCTCTGCTGGTGGTGGGATTTCAAGTGGGTATGTGATGTTGAGGACAACATAAGTGAAAATAAAATTTTAATTAATTCATATGTACAAAATTATATTTGTTCCTTGGGGAGAAATAATAAAACTACACTTTTGGTGGCATCTGCAACATTAATAATATTTATCTAATGATTCTTCCTCTTTGTAGGATAACAAGTGGCCCTCTATCTGGATTGATTGGAAGGTAAGATTATTTCTTCATGGTGGCAGAGTTCTCTACCTTATTGTTCTTAGTTTTGCCATTGTTCTTGCAACATCTTAGCTGTCCTCAAGAATGCATCTGTTATTCTGTTATTGGGGGATAATACTGGCAATTGTTGTATGGAGCTTATATGGCCTCTTAATGAAAGTGAAACATAATGCCACCTGGTAGCATAACTTGACAAACTAAACCTTTGCTGAATTCAAATTTGAATTTTAACCATGAGATAAAAAATATTTGCTTTATGATGAGGCATATTGCATCTGACATTCTCTAGTTTAAGGATTAATGACAATCTTTGGTTTTGCTCTTTTCAGTTTGTTGTTGTCTTTGATGGGAAATGAAATGACAAAGATCTTCTCCCTTCTGTAACTAAAGACATTAAAAGTTTCTTAATGAGGCTCATCTCATCTGATATCACCTAGTTTAAGGATTTAATCAGCTTTGTTTGTGTGCTTTGGTATAATATTTAATAAGACATGAAATGGCTGATAACAGAAATTTCTCTTTCTGTAACTAAAATTCAGTCAGTAACATAAAGGTCTAATTTAGACCACCAATGTCATGGTTTTCTCTATTGGCCCATTTTGCTTGATATGTGCAATGCATCTATAGATAAAAGTACATTTAGTTTTTTCTTAGTGGTTGTGCTCAATTAAATAATGCTTAATTTATTTAAATGTTACCAAATATGTTAATATCACAACCTTGTGCTTAAGGAAAATTCTTGTATTTCCTTAATCAATAAACAAGTTTCCTGGTTAACTGAATGTGAATCCTCCAAATTTCTTCTGACTTCCTAAATATATTACAAATATCCATTTACTATAATTGAAGTGTTACAATTCTCACAAGTAGGATTTCAAGAAATGGATAATTTGCAATGGAACTGTCACTTCCATTATTACTTATACATGCATACTTTCTTGTGTGCAGTTTTTTGGGAGTATTTCCAACTTCATGTTAATTGGTAAAGAAACAACATATCTCCCTCTCCCTGATGAGAAAAATTAAAAAAATAGAGATAGATAGAAGTGGAGGTGGAAGGCAGGCAGTCAAGCTGTGCAGGTAGCTATTTTGGGGGCAACTTGTATAGTGGGCTTTGAGCATGTGCCCCACCCACAAATTTAGGCTGTAATGGAGTGTGATAATCTTTTTGTACCCTTATGTACCATGTTCTTTGATAGAACTATACATAAGTTTTCTGAACTGATTTTAATTAAAAAAATCTGGCATAAAGTTGCCTGTAGGTGAAGACCTGATGCAAAACATTAAAATTTTTTTGGCTATAATATGAATGGCTGCTGTAAAGGTGGGGCGAGTGGTGGGAATTGTAATAAAACAGCAGTAAAAGTTGGTCAAGTCATGTGTTGCCACTGGACCAATATTGAAACAAGTAGGAAGTATTTAGATGGGAGATAGGAATAGAAATAAAGAAAAAGAAATTAGGCTAATTATAAAAAAATCTTTCAGAGGTTGATTGCTAAAATTGTGAGTGTCTTTTCAGTTCTTTCTTAATGCAATCCAGGAAATAAGATGAAGTTAGTGGTGCAGAAATAGCTTTTCTCATTTGAAATAAGAAAAAAAAAGATAGAACTGGGAGGGGGGTCTGGTGTTTGGATTGGGTAAGATATCCTTGAAATGCATATATTTATGCTTCCATCTTCAGTATTTTTAAGCCTACCATAATTCTTTGTGAAATTCAAGTAAGAACAAAAATATTTCTTGCTGATTTACATGATCTGACGTGGGGATGAAACTGGAAATTTCATGTACACGGGGCTGTCTTGCATGTATTTAATTGGATTGAATGACTCACTCTATGATTTAAAAGATTTAGGAGGGGCAAACATTCAATTTTTCTAAAACAGTTAACAATAATACCTTGGAATAATGCATAAATTTATGAATTTTTGGGGGAGGGGGGATGGGGACCCCACCATTGTACCTTTGGCTTCATCCTTGAGCTGTTATCATGGTTCAATATTGATTATCAGTACACATTTTAAATGAAATAGAAATAGACAATGATGGAAAATAAATGGTGATATGCAATATTTATATATGAAGGGTGTTCTCATGTCACAAGGCTTCTCTCTGAGGGTTGGGAGAGGATCATCAATATATATAATTTTATCCCTACTTTGCAGAGAAGCTGTTTTTGTGTCTTGAACTTGTGACCTTTTGGTGAAAGGGAGCAACCTTATTGTTGATCTAAGCCTTGTCATCACATGCTTACGATTTGTATGTTTTAGAGAATGCCTTCCTGCATGCTGTATATAGATCTGTACATTTAATAGGAGTATTGACTTTTCTAGGCCATAGTACACAAACCCAGTAATGCTTTGTAAATACTTGACAGCTTAAATCTATGCTCTCACTGAATCATTAGGCTTGAGTTATATGCTCTGTATTTTTTCTCTGTCAAGATATAGCAATATCAAAGTGAAAGGGAGCAACGTTATTAATATTATTGATCTAAGGCTTGTCATCATGTGTTTAAGATTTATATGTTTAAGAAAATGCCTTCTTGCATGCTGTATATAGATCTGTATATGTAATAGAATTACTGACTTTTCTATGCCATAGTACACAAACCCAGTAATGCTTTGTAAACCTCACCATCTAGCTGTATATATAGCAGTATATACTGCTATGTTTCTTCTCTGTCAACATATATAGCAGGATCAAATTGGATACCTCACCATCTAGGTCTTATGGTTAATTTCCAGTCAGAACTGCATCTACCACAGCTGCAGCTGCAATTGCACTAACATTTACAAGACAGTACAAGTTGAACTTTCTTGCTTATTAATGTATCAACTATTAACCCTTACAAAATGTAAATTTTGTTATCATTGTGACACCAAATTGCCGTTTTGCCTTGGTTATGTCAAATTGCCTTTAAACTGCTAAGTCACAATAAATGCATGCATGTTTGGACAAGATTGCTAATCCCTATGGCACTTTTTGAAGCAACATTTCGCGTGTCTAGCATGGAATATTCATTTCAATTAGTGAATAGGTGTTTTCTTTGATAGAAAGAACCATGAGGAACTTTACACCAATCATTATTGGTTTGTTGGTCTCATTTGTGTAAATATTTAATATTAAGCTGTTATTACCTTGTTTGCTCTTGTATCAACATATAAAGCTGGTCAGCTAGAAGGAACCAATCAGTATTTCTTAGTTAACTATTAGACAGACCATCTAAGACCAAGCCAATTAGATTCTGTAAATTTGTTTTGTATTGAAATGATTAAATAATGATATATGACATTTACAGTTTATATCAGAGAAAAAACCGATTTGCATGAATTTGTTTGTGGCTATATATGTATATTTCTGTATCTGTATCTCTGTGCATCTATCTATACATTCATTCTTAGTGATAGTGACAAGCTCTGCTTAATGTTGCTGTATTGTAGGTGCTTGGAATTCTTATGTATCTTTTTTACCCTGTTTGCAGCTTTGCATATTCTCATAGAAATGTTTTTGGGAGAAACCAAAAGCTTAATGTTTCCTTAGAAAGAGGACAAATTGATTCAATATTTCGAATAAATTACACAGATCCTTGGATTGAAGGAGATGATAAGAGAACATCAAGATCAATCATGATTCAGGTAATTGAAGGCTCTGTTACATTTATGTCACCATATTTCTAAAGAGGAGAAGCAGATTAATATGGGGACTATTTGTGGATTAGAATTCTAGAACACCTGGCACACTTGTTCATCGAAGTCAACCTGGCAACAGTAGCCTGACCATTGGTCGTGTCACGGCTGGCATTGAGTTTAGTAGACCATTCAGGCCAAAGTGGAGTGGAACTGCAGGTCTTATCTTCCAGGTACTACGGTAATTTCATGTTTTCATACTTACTATTTATACCTATTAGGAGTATGGGACCATTAAGCTTCCTCTATGGCTTTATATGTTGCCTTGTGGAATGGAAAACATAAGCTTTCTATGTGCTTTTGCTGTAGGAATGGGTAGGATTCGAGCTCTTCAAGATGGAGTAATAAAGTAACACAGTTAATAAGCCGACAAATTTGAGCAAAATGAACTTTGCCTGTTTCCTAATTTCTCGCCTGACTCTGGTCCTTCATTTGTTCACATGTTGGAGTTGTCCTTTGTAGAAATACTGTTGATACTACTTGTTCCAAAAGTCTTACATGGTTCAAATATCTCTAGTGGCGGACAAGTTTTGCATGTCCTGTGTTTTCTTGGAGTTAATTTGTTTGGCTAGGCCATGGAATTTTGGTAAATTTTAAGAATTAGAACATAATTTTGCATGAAGTGGTACCTAAAGTTGAAACTTTAATCCTGTAGCCATAAAGATTCCAAGTTTTCAACCAGGTTTGACACCAAGCAAATATTTGAAATCATGTTGATCCTTGGCAAGTGAAGCATAATCTGCTAATATTTAAATATGTCATTGCTAGTGTGTTTCAATGTACAAATGTATATTAATCCCTATACTGTATGCACCGCCAAACTAATTGATAGAACTTGGTTCTGTTTAATCCATTTGGTCTGGTTTGTAAATGTATTCTGATATCATAAGTCGGAATGAGCTTGAACAAATAGATCAAACTTTGTTATCAATCCAAGTTTGTTTAAGTCCTGCTGGGTTAACACTGAAATGTGTAATTATTTGTGACGTTTAAAAATGTTTATGAACCACATATGTAGGCTCTTTTTTGTCATCCTCCAATTTACATGAAAATTTTTACTTTTCTACAGCACTTTTTAGTTGTGTTATATTTTAGTTTGAATGCAATATTTGTAACCCCAAACTGTTAAGCTCATCATTAAGTGCTATCATGTTGTGAAAATATAAACCAACTAGAGATAATGCTATTGATAACTTCTGCTCGAAGACGTGTTGGGTTTTATTTTTAGAGACTAGGTGACTGAATCTATTGTTGGCTTTCCTTTAAAATATTATCGAGTATTTTTTTTTTTTTTTTCCATGGCCCCTTTCTTCTTTGATTGTATTTATGTATTTTTTATCTTTTCTGGATTCAAATTTGAAGATTTTAGGGGGTGGTAAATGTAAACTTAAGGGAAAAATTTTTCTAATGTTTGTAATTTGATTTTGGAGAGAAAGGAGAGAAGGATTGTGTAATGAGCGTTAACCTAATCTCAGTTAGGCATCTGCACTTATAAATTAACAAAGTGTACAAAGGGACATAAGATAGAGATGACTAATCTACCCTGAATGCACTATAATTCCATAGCTCCCTCAACTTGGAGTATATATATTAATCAAGCCATGGTTGTTAATCATATTTCTATGAAGGGCCTGGGCGAAAATTTCTGCAAGCTGCTCTCTAGTTTTTTGAATTTGATATCCTTCCCAGTAATGATCCCATTTTGAAGCTTCTCATGAATAATGTGAAAATTTAGTTCAATGTGCTTAGTCCTTTCAAGAAATACACAGCTAGAAGCCATATTAATAACTGCTTGACTATCACAACACACCTACATGGCCTAGCTCTATCCTAACCTTAGATCATCAAGCAAATGGCATATCCATGTAAGCTCGTATATGAGTTGAGCCATAGCATGATCTCACCACAACATTTTGTTCCTTGCTATTTCATGAAACTAAATTACCTCTCATGGATATGCAATATTGTGTGGTCAATCAGCGATTAGTGGGATGACAACCCAAAATAACACAATTAAGTGACAACTGTGGGGGCACTTTGGGGGATCTACACAATACACACGCACACATATTCTTTTTACATATTTATTAGTTTATAATTCTTAATTTTTGAAAACGTAATTTATAATAAGTTATAATTATATTTATACTTGAGAATGATATATATATATAGGAGGAGAGATAGACACACACACACACACACACACACACACATATATATTCTTTTTATGTATGTATTAGTTTATAATTCTTAATTTTTGAAAACATAATTTATAATAAGTTATAATTATATTTAATAATAATAAAATCTACATATGTTTATATGAGTTAAGAGTTATTATTATTATTGTTATTATCATCACCATCATCATCATTTTCAACATATTTGAATATGACTTCATTAAATATTAAAACAACTGACATTTGCTCTCTTGAGTTAAATAATTAGAGTAATTTGGTCATTTACTGGAAACCCATAGTAAACAAACCTTATGTTGTGAAATCAAACAATGGTTAAGGTTTTCAATAAATCCACTTTTTTCAAATGAGGTTTCAGTAAACCAGGTTTTAATAAAGGCTTAAAGAGGCTTTGTACCAAACAAGGCCTTAGTGACCATGATCTCTGCACAACAGTTCATGACTTGGGTCCCTTTGAGATATTTTAGGATTTTGCTTTGAAGTTTCCTGTAGTTTCTTTTTATATGACCAGACTCACCAAAATGAAAGCACAGCATTGGGCCACCTCGTGTTACTCTGACCACCTTGGATACTCTCACATTTGGACCCAGAGGTGGTTAAAGCAACCGTCTTGGTAGGTGCGTGGTCTTCACCCGTTGGTGGTCTTGCATGTTGCTCTAAGAAGCAAATGAAGGCATCAGGGGGAGAGGTTAGCATAGCACTAGCCAAAACATAACTTCTACTGTAGTCATAGTTGGACCTCGATCTAGCAAGGAAGAGCATGATCATCATTTGTTTGTGTTGCTCTTGTATATTCTAGACATGATTGGGGATAGGCATAAACACCTTTGCCTCCTTAAAGATTTCTTGAACTCGGCTAAGTGTTAAGGTTTGCTTCTCATGATCTGCCCAAAGAAGTCATTGAAAAGTGTCTTAGACGTGGAATAGGTTTTGGTTACACCCATACAAGAATTCTTGATAGGCCTCCCAACTCCTTTATTGTTTGATAGTGGGTTGCCAACACTTTTCACATTGCTTTCCAATGTATTGTCAATCTGAATGAGCAATCGGTTGTCTTCCTGCAACCTCTGTTTTCTTTCTCAGTCTCTGGAGGTGGGTCATCACTATGGTGGTCCTCTTTCTCAACACTCACCAAGTACTAGCAATAATCTTCCTATGCCATGCATAATTTCTTTTCATTCAATTTCTTGTCTGTAATCTGAGTAGAAGATTAAATCACTTCAATTTACTATCCTCTTTTAAGTTAGTTTAGTTTAGTTTAGCCGTGCCCACTTTTATCTTCTTCATGATATCTCCAGCATGTGAGAAAGTCCAGGATTACAAATGAGAAACCACGAGAACAATCTGAGAGTTGGTAAACTTCAGCTAAGCAGAACCTATGCCAAGCAAGATATCTTGAGACCATCTAGATTGTAAGCCAGAATAGAGGTTGAAAGAGATCCCTACCCAAGCCTGTGGCAAACTGACAGCAGTGAGACCTGAGAACTCTTGAGACAACTTGGCAGCCTCCTAATAATCAAACATGCAGTGCAACAATTTTGGACTCAGATACAGCTTGCAAGAGCTTCAACCTCTTCTGGGTTGTTGATAACCTGCAATAAACTACAGTTGACCAATCAGACCACATAGAAACAACTTGAAATCAGTTCACTGTCTCAGTTGACCTCCACAAACAAGAAACCAAAGCTAGTTGATCACATAGGCAAGAATAGATGAAGGCTTACTTTTGTAGTTTTGCCACTTGGACTCAATTCATGCTGTCTGGACCTGGTGAGCCACACCTGGGTCATATTTGATATCTTCTAGGTCTCTTTTCCTTGGTTGCACAACTTGGCAACAAGGGCAGCACTCTCTGGGTCATCAATTTTATTGAATTATAAGAAGAAAAGAAGAGAGAGAGAAGATTCCATTGAATTCTGATTTTGGGGAGAAAGGAGAGGAGAATTGCGAAATGTGCCTTAAGCTAATCTCAGTTAGGCACGTGTTTATAGTTTAACATATTGTACAAGGGATATTACTTGGGAAATGACTAATCTACACTCAATACACTGTATTATGGGTAACAACATTGTTAAAGCTGGAATATGTGGGGACCTGAGCTAATTTTTCGTATAAAATTTTCAATTTTGTAAATGCATTTAGCCTTCTGTTTTTATATCTTACGTTGTCTATTTGGATTGTTAATTCATCGGTTTTCAGCATGCTGGTGCTCGTGATGATAAAGGGAATCCCATTATCAAGGACTCCTATAATAGTCCTCTCACTGCTAGGTATGAAGTCAGGCTTATATGATAGACTATTGCGAAGGACATCTGATACCATGCCTGTGGTAAATTTTGCTGCAGTGGCAATACTCATGATGATACATTGCTTGCTAAGTTTGAGTGTGTATACACTGGTTCTGGTGACCCTGGGTCTTCAATGGTGAGTTGTTTATGGTTTTCTGTTTATTTATTTTTGTTATCTTTCTCTTGGTTTCAATTTTCTCCCTTTTTGTAGTTTGTGTTAGACATGGAGCAAGGGCTTCCTTTATTGCCAGAATGGTTGGTTTTTCAATAGAGTAAATGCGCGTGCTAGGAAAGGTTTAGATATTGGTCCTGCTCGCTTTCTTCTAAGGTAAAACCCTTTGTTTTCCTAGCTAGAGCAGTCTATCTCAAAATCTAAGACTTCTAAAGAGGAAATTGAATGGATTAATCTTATTTTGCTTGTTATACCTAGGGAAATATTTTGTTGACTGTGCTATTTCCTGTTGTCTCGCTAATATAGCATTTTCTACTGCTACATAGTTTATCTGGTGGTCATGTGATTGGAAATTTCTCCCCTATGAGGCTTTTGCAATTGGTGGGACAAATAGCGTTAGAGGCTACGAGGAAGGTGCAGTAGGGTCAGGGAGGTCTTATGCTGTGGGCTCTGGAGAAATGGCTTTCCCTTTGGTATGTGTTGACATTTATTGATTTCCTATGTATCTAACTGCATTGAGTTATTTGCCATTGCTGCAGTATCTTTACTTTGTTTCATATCAATTATGTCTCTTGTTAGCTGGAATCATGCATTGCTGAAATTATGAGTCTGGGCGTTCGAGGATAATTGGCAAGTTACCTCTGGTTACATTCTTCTCGTTCATGTTTTAGCTCTTTCCTTGAGTAGATTTATTCAGCCTGTGTATTGGTACGAGCACTGCTATTACAGCAACAACCTTGAATTTCTGCCATTTTGTTGAGATATTTCTCTTTTACTTGTTGAAATTCAGAGTTTTGTACTGGTTTTAACGACTAATAATAAAGGTCAAGCTTGCTTCCTTAGGTTGGTTTTCCTTGTCAGTTAGTTTTGACTATTCAGTTTGACCTGGTTTTAGTACAAAAACTAGAGCTGAAGGCCCTATTCATTATGAAGAAATGCAATAAACAGACTTGGGGAGGATGGAGGGTGGGCTATGGCTTTTGGTTTTTGCCTTCTTGCCTGCATCTTTTCTTGCATTCTGCATTAACACCTTCTGAGTTTGCTATAAATGAAAATCTACAGCATGTCTAAAACACACATATTTCAATAGCTAATGCTCCAGAAAGGGGCCCAAAAGTAGGGCTCTTTTCAGGCTTATAAGAACTCATATAACTTGGATTTTTATACCAGTGGGCAGGCTGAAGTTGGCATTGGTTCAATATATTCTCTATTGCCCAATGGTGCAATAAAATAAAACCTTGGGAGTAGCCCAATGTTAGTTGGGCTGTGAAATAACTAGCCCAATCCAAAATGGGCCTAAAACCCTATTCAGTTTTATTTAGCTTTGATTCCTGTTCGACTTAAAGCACATTTTATTGATTTACAAAATAATTTATTGAAATACATAAGCATATATTAGGGAAAAGGGAAGTGTTATCTAGATTAGAAGTGGTGGGAATCACCAAATCTTAGCCACTTAATCAAAATCCAATAAATGGAACTTGGCTACTGATGGGTAGATTTTGAACACTAATTTCATATTGGGGGATTATTTTCATGCTGTGGAATCGTTTTTATGGGCATAATAGCAAAATAGAATGGGAATTGTTAGGCTGTTAGTCCTGCATTGGATGAGGTAAACATGGGGCTCTTTGTCTTGATATTGAATTCAATCTGTGACCATCTTTCTTGACAGCATGGCTTGCAATTTATTGATTAAAATTCCCTTCCATGCTTTTGGTATGGGTTTGTCATTGGCTTTCTCCTCCTTTATGTTTGTTCAACTTTCATTTTTGGAGAGGACATTGATTCTTGATTTTAGTTTCATAGACTGAATTCTTTGGAGAATATCAATATGAAACAACAAATTGAAGAAAATCGATATTTTTAATTCTAAAGTTTCTGTAATTGTTCCTGTCTAAGAAGCATCAACATGGAGATGGATACAATGTAATGGCAATTTCGGAAACATCAGAACATGGTCACTGGTGCAGCCCAACAATAAAAATTTAGATATTTATTTCTAATATTTACACCTGAACATGTGTAAAACGATAAAAAAATAGCATAAACATCCACTAATCAAACTAATATGTTCATGCTTAAAGCCTTAAAACCACCTTCGCATGAACCGAAAATTACAGGCTGGCACTGACTGTCCCAGTCTTTATTATTCTATTATTATTTCCTTTCCAAATTATTATGCAGAAAAGATAAGTTTAACATTTGTTTTGAGATATGCTACAAAATACTTTAATATCTTTAATTTTCTCTACATTGGGTACCTCTTTGCAGTTCTCTAAAAATATGTTGATCCAAAGCCGTTGCAAGAATCTATAAAATGATAAAATTTGTATTTCTTAAATTTTTTTATGTAAACTACCTTATATTTCTTAATTTTCTTCACATTTGATGTCCTCTATTATTTCTAGAAATCTTTGGTCTGATTTATTTCAATCCAACAATGACAATAATATGCTAACATATGGCAAGTTTTGCATGCCTGTCAAATGCCAATCAAACCATTGTAACTGTTTAAAAAATAATACAAAGTGAACCTAATTTTTGGTGTATACTGTCACTTTTTGAATTATATTGATATCTTTATGGCTTGTTTCATAAGAGATTAAGGATGAATTGAAAGGACAAATATTGCAAGATAGGCTTGATCTAACTGCGTGAGTTTTCTGTGCCATACTACAAGATCTGAGGGGAATCAAGCTACACAAGTTATAATTATAGAGTTCCGTAAAAGGAACCACTGATGCACATATCTTAATTATTTTAAAAAGGGAATACAAGATTACAAACTGAGACAAGTCTGAGCAATTTGTATCAGTTGAGATTCCTTACTTTCAAATGGTGCCACATTTTTTTTTTTAAATTGTTTTTTCTAAATGGTCTTTTTTAATTATAAAGAACTTGGGTTATGAATTCTTCTCTCAATTTTTTAAGGTTAAATATTTGATTGGCTACAACTGAACAATTAATTTTCCATAAATTATGAAAAAAAAAAATGATGAACAGCTCAAAGAAGTCCAGATTTAGTGGGAGCATAGTTGAATTTTTTGCAAGTCATTTGCCATTACATAACAAACTTTACATGTCAAAATTCTGACACTATTACTAAGTACCTTTCTTCCTTTTAAATGTTATGACTCTTGATTTTGCATGCATATTTATTGTCCTGATAGTTTATGCAAGGCACATATCTACACATGCGAAGTTCTATGTCAAAATCCTAGATTACTGCTTTATTAGTATAGAGTATAGATTTTCATTCCTTTATTCACCAAATATGTGATATATATTTTTATTTTATGTTATTTTTGTGAAGATGAATGTTGGGTAAATCTCATATTGTATAGAGACAAATGTGTTATACTTGGACATTTGTCTTGAAATTGAAAAATAAATTAAGAAATTAGACACACTATTTTGCATGTTGAGTACGTCTTATTGTGTCCATGATGTATGGGATATGGTTACATCACATCAAATGGGGTGTCTGTGCTTCCTAGGTTCCATATTAGGTTTTTATGGAAAATACTTTACTAGTCAATCAATTTTTAAGGTCTTGAAATAATGAATTCCATTACAATGGCAACTCATTTGGGATGAATATATCATAATGGATTGGGTGGGATCACTTGATTGGGTTCAATGTGTTATCCAGCCTGATAAGATTTAGGTTGAAAGCCTGAAAGTAAAGAGTGCTGGAGGTTTTGTTACATAAATTTCATACAAAGAGTCAAATGTCTTTTTTCAGGCAATATTGAATTTATGTTTTTGTTTTTATTGAGGTCTGTTGAATTTCATCAATACAGTTGCTACAACTGTATGCCATATCAATGGTACTTTAATACATTAGTATACATGTGCATCCAACTGATAAATTGAATTGCACTTTCAAAAAATAATGCTGATTCACTAATTAGCCTTGCATACAATTTTTTTTTAAGTTGTTTATATAGTTGTTTGAGTTGTTAGTTTGAAGGCTATATTTCATTGTTCACGAACCATTTATAGCATTGTTCCTGTGTTTTCTTGCATAACATATTGAATTTCTTGTGCTTTATTGAGGTCATATCTGGGTAATTGGGATCTTGAATGAAAGAGATGCAAAAAGGACAGGAAAATATGAAGGGAAAATTTTGTTTAGATGTTAATGCTGGGGTGAAATTAGATAATGGTTCCAAGTAGTGAAATTATTTTCTTATTGGCTATTCTCAGCTATTTGGCCTGTGGTGGTTCATTTGTGGTGATATCTACCCATTTATCTAAAATTTTCACTGTACCTTGCAGCTGGGACCACTAGAAGGGGCTGTTTTTGCTGATTATGGAACTGATCTTGGATCAGCCCTACTGTTCCTGGTATATAGATTTTCCCTTCAATAAAAAGTTAATCTCGTCTGTTGCATTATATTTTGTATGAAGTTTTTGAAGATGTAATGATTTGTTGCTTACATCAGGTGATCCAGCTGGGGCAAGGCTAAAACCTGGAAGTGGATATGGATATGGATTTGGCATACGTGTGGACTCTCCTTTGGGGCCTCTGCGTCTAGAATATGCTTTCAATGACCATAAAGCTGGAGGTTTCACTTTGGGGTTGGCCTTCGGAACTAGGCAAGTTCTCTTTACATCCACTTGTTCGCGTTGATGTATTTTTATTCTCTCTCCTCTCTCCTCACCCGCCCTCCCTCTCCTCCCCTCTCTCCACCCCCTTTCTTCTCTATTTATCAATTTTGGTTGTTCATGCTTATTGGAATGGATACATCCCATAATTAATTTCCTTTGGTAATGGTGGTTTTTATTAATAATACTGTTTGAATAACAATGATATATCCTTATTCTTTGTCTGCACTTTTGACTTTGAATGTATTTTTTTCTTTACTCCATGCACCGTTGTCTGAATCATGTGATTATATGGTCGGTCAAATAGATTAGTTTAGATCCAAGTAGTTATTTGTGAAGCTTGGAGCTTTGACAGAGAGCATGGATAGATCATTTGTAGCTTATTTAATTCAAGATTGAAGGAAGTCCTATTTTTCCATTTTTATGAGTGGAAGAGGTGTATTCTTTTTTTACGAGTTTCTCAAGTAATTGTGCCAGTGTAATTAATTAAGACTTTAATGCACAAATAGGAACAGCCATGAAGTAAAAGAAACCCTGGCGGCTAGAGATGGACTCTGGTGCTGAACGATAATCCCTCCATTTCAACCCAAAATCTTCTTGTTTGGCCATTCCCACACTTTGTCCCAAGTGTGAACGGGGATAATAGCTTATTTATGGGCAAGGAGGGTGCGAGAGAAGGGGGGATTCTAGGTGGTCTTCATGGGATCTTGAAATCAGATTGCCTCAAAAGAGGTCAAACTTTGAATGCTTTAGTTGGAAGCTAATTAGTACAAGTGGTTTTCTTTTCTTTTTCTTTTTCTTTTTTGGGGGGATGGGGGGTGGTGTATATTGTGCTTTGCGCTCTAGTGACTTTGTGCTTTGCCTATTGAGACTTGGCTTACTTACCACTAAAGTCAGCCGTTCAAGAGAGAATATCAAAGACCATCCCAATCTTCTAGCAAGCTGCCTCCTTGAGCTTGAACTTCTCTCAATAAGACAATAAAGAATGCAGAAGATAAAGAAGCCTCTCAAGGATGAGTAAATGTGTACGCGTGAAGCTATTGAGGCTTAATCTCTAAAGAATGGAAGTTGTGGCGTAATAAATTAAGGTGTCAGAAACTCTAAGAACGTTTTGCGAAGTCCGTCAAGTCCAACGCGTCTCATTCTGCGCTCTCATGTCCGAGTTCCACACTAACATACCTCAGAACATCGGATTGAACTGGTTTAGGCTCGAATTTTATCTCAACGTCTTTAACTTATGAATAAGTGTGAAAATGAAGATCACCGTAGTAAAATAGTAAAAAAAATGACAATTTAACTTTTGATGTTGTGTCTTAGAATCCAATTTCTAATTCTTCTTCTTCCTTTTTTTTTTTTTTTTTTTTTTTTTTTTTCTCTAAACAGGCATCCGATTTAATTTTTTATTGCTTATTTACTTATTTACTATTATATATATTTTCTCCTTCCCTCCTCTGAGCGCCAATGCTAAGTTTTAATTTTATTTTCTTTGACTATGAAGGATAAAAGGGAAGCGGCCTTGTAGAGGAAGTGTTCCCTTTCTTCCCTTTCAGCCGAGCTCTAGACCCATTCCCTTCTATCTCTGCTTTCATCCGCCCGCCGAGTTGTAAGGGTGCCATTTCATCCCACCCACCTCTCGCCTTTGTTAGCGACCACCATCCATCAGCCATCCATTGTTGTGCAAATATGCTGTCGAACCACCTTAAACAGACTTAGCTCTCCTCTTCACACGCTATCAAATAAATTGTCAACATCTTTGTTCGAACATTTATGTTTTTGGCATTCCCCTCACAGGCCAATTAGTAAAATGGGACAGTACACTTGCATCAAGATCAAAAGCTCTAAAATTATTTGGAGAACCAGGCAGCCGGTTCTTGTCAAGTTCCATTGCTTTCTCCGTTTCAACTTGGTCTTGGGCAAACCTCACCTTCCACTTTAGTTCTCTTAGAAGCGGTCAGCTTAAACGTTTTGTTACCCAGTCTCGAATTACTAAGTTTTGCTGAAAACTAAACAAACCCTATGCACCTCAATTATATGCAACAAGACTAAAGAATTGAATGACACACTAAGGCTTGAAAAACTTCTTCGGAGCATTGATTGAAGATCCAGATCCTATAGAGGTTTAGTCTGCATTTATGTATTGGTGCTTGCTACGTAGATTTAGTGGTGACACTTTAAAGGGCTCCTATTTTTGTTTGAAATATTTTCAAGTCAATATGTTTTCTCCAAAAGTGTTTTCAGATCCTTTACTACCCATGCCCTGCTGTACCATCGTCTAGTGCTCTTAAGAATTCATTTGGCATCTTGAGACGCATTGGACAGTGGTACTAGATTGTCCAACAGCCACCTTATCTTGCCCATGGCTATTTAAATGAAGTATCCCTCAATAGCCACTATGGACAGATTTGAGCTCATTTAAGAAAATTTATATGGTCTATTTATAGGGAACGAGCCATACTCGACAACCACAACCTTGACCTATTCCTATCACTCCAATTTAATACCTTAGCTGCTCGAAAGCTCTCTTTTTCTACGGTTTCATAATTACTGTACCTTCAAGTCCCCAAAAAATGCTGGGTGAAAGCCATTTTGCTCTGCCTACGTTCGAAGTTTAGGTGATTTGTAAATGTATTCTAGGATTTTGATTTTTTGCACTTTACATTCTAATAAGACAAAAAATAATAATGTACTCCAGGATTTTGATTTTTTGCACTTTACATCCTAGTAAGACAAAAAATAATAAGGTGTTAGAGTACAAAATGCAAAAACTTATAATTCTAAAGTGTATTGTGCAAATGAGTCTTCTAAGTTATGTAAAAATTTAAAACTCTAGATCTTAATGGTTGATATTAGCATAACATTCGCCATTTACCATCCCATTGAAATGTCAAAAAGTAGGACCAACTTTTGATGGTATGGCCTTGTCTTTCATCACTAGGGAGAATGCCTTCTTCCAGCCATAAATGTAATTGTCGAAGGATTCAGAATTTGGAAATATTCTATTATATCATATAGTTGATTGTACTATTGTCACGGATTTTATATTGAACATTGTAAAAGACAGATATTGGGTATTAAAGGGAGTATCGCACATTTTAACAAGTGTAACTTTTAGAGAAAAGGGTAATGGTTTTTGTAACAAGTAGTATCAGAGCTAACTTAAAGAGATTACTTTGATGGTATTGTAACTCACTCGTGAGCGCTTTTAATATTTCCATGAAGGTAAATAGAGTGGTAAGAGGTTGTGGATCCTACCTTGACGAGGGTGTCAAAGGGTTGAAGTGTGAAAGAATGTCATATCTTATTTTAGAAGTGTGAAAAAGGGATAGTAAGTTATAAGAGATGGTGATACATATTTTAATAGGTGCACTTTTGGGAGAAATGTAACTTTTTTGTGACATATGTCCTTTACAAAACCTCTTCACCAGTGCACGAGGTGTTGTTTTCATAAACGGTTTACCAAGCACCAGCTTCTTAACTTGTTTCATCATAATTGATCTTATTTGCTTCATCCGAAATAAGGGAAGTTAAATGTCCCCAGCCAGGTTTAAGCCTCCAACTCTTTCGTGAGACTTGGTCTTTCTTACCCCATTTTTACGGGGGAAGCGCCAACCTCAGAATTTTATTGGCATTTTTTGTATCATCCGCCTCTGTTATCTTTTCTTCTCTCTCTTTATTTGCTTATTTATTTGTTTATTCTTTGTGTCTACCTTATTTTTATTGGTAGGTTTTTGTTCCTGAACAACTAAACAAAAGAATTTAGTTGTCTATTTTATAATAAAAAAATCAGAAGTACGAAAATCTGATCGCAGTCTTATTTTGACCATGTCAGCGAAAAAGGTGAGCGCAAACAAATAAGGACAATTGACAGACCACGAGAGAGAGAGAGAGAGAGGGAGGGGAGGGAGGGGCGGGGGGCGGTGGAATGGGGTTTGGGAAGGCAGGACACAGAGTGTCTGTGAATCGCAGGACAAGTCATTGGGAATGGAGATTCAGACAAATCTTGCCGTCTCCATTTTCTTACGTATTATTTTGGAACGCTCGTGCTGTCTCGGAACAAACGAAAAGAATTGAGGGGTGTGATCAAAATCAGTGGCTTTCAAGTTTCCCGAATCCAGCTCTAGCCCTGGAAATCAGCAATTTCTTCACTTGGGTCCAGCGCATACTTGGGAAGAAAGCGTTCTTTTTGCTTATATTATTCACTTCAACAATTCATTAAACACCAATATCTTTATTAAAAATGTATATATGTCATTGGCTTAATTTTTTAATGAATTTTAAGATATATATATATATATTTAGAGAGAGAGAGGGAGGGGGAGAGAGAGAGAATTTAGGTTGTGGGATATGGGAAATAGGGAAGCAGAATGTGTCTGCAAATGAGAGGGCAAGACGTGACCAAACGGGTTCCAAGAATGGCACATGTACAAAACATTAGCGTAATCTTTCTCGTGTTAGTTTTGGTTTCGGAGGGCTCGTGCTGTCTTGGAGTTAGTAATTAATTGAATAGTCAGCCCTTATTTAAGTTATTTTGTTTGTTTTTATTTTCTATTTTTTCCACGTAGCGTTCCCGTAGTGCTAACTGGGGGCGCCTTTCCTTGACATCAAATCTCCATTTACTTAAACCCCGCCAAAGTGTGCTTGATGGGTTATGATTTTTTGAACTTTAAATTTTTTCATACTAAGTATTTTTTTTTCCAAAATTCTAATTTAAAATTTTTAATCTTTATTTTAAATAAAATATTTAATTATAAAATTCATTTAATTTTTTTAAAAAATTATTTTGAGGGAGACAAAAATTAGCCACCAACTCATAAACTGGGCCTCTCATCGGCTGTCACACTTGTCAGGATGAATGGGGTTCACCTGACATTAGATTGGCTTATGCTAATGACGTGAGAGGGGATTTCTGTGCTGTAACTTGTAAAAGGACTTGTAAGCTTTTCTACTTTGAACACGTGTCAGAGGTAGGCCTTTCAAACGAACTCCAGAAGTAAAAATAAGTTATATTTAACCCTAATTCACTCG